CTCCTCCTTCCCCCCTCCAACTTATGATGGTGGGGGTGGAACACAGGCCCATCACCCTCAGTCACCACGACGGGGACCCCACCCGCAGGCCCCAACTCCAGGGTCGGTCGCCAAGGCCGCGCTTCTGCCCCTGGGTCCCGCAGGGGCCTATGGGCGGTCGCCAAGATCGCGGCTCGAGCCTCGGCCCCCCAGAGAACCACGGGCTGGCGCCTCACTCCGCTGCCGAGGGCGGTCGCCAAGATCGGTCTTCGCACCCTGGCCACAGAGGGCGGTCGCCACGACCGCGCCTCAATCCCCTGGCCCCCCACAGGGCGCGCGCCACGATCAAGCATCTGGCCCAGGGCCCCCGCAGGCCCACGGGCTGGCTGCCCAGGCGGCTGCCGAGGACGGTCGCCAAAATCACGCCTCCCGCGCCGCGCCCAGCACTGGCCTTCACGACCTGGGTGCGGCCTGGACACTCCACCAGCACGACCACGAGGACCACTCCGCGCTCGGCCGCGACCTCGACAGCCCTGACGAGACGTCGCCCGCGCGCCCCGTGCTCCCTGTGGCAGTCCGGTCTCCCGCAGGGCCCCAGCCCCGCTCGGAGCCTCTTTCTGCCATTCCGTCGTGCTCCGTGCACGCTGGGGGGGTCTCCCTCTCGTTTCCACCGCTCCTACCGCACCTGAGGACCACATCCCAGACATAGTTTCGAGCACCCACCAGGGCTTCGGAGCAGTGCCTGCACGGCACGCTGGCGAAGCGTCCAACGACGGTCGCCTCCCAAGGCCTCACACGTGAAGCCCCTCAGACATCGGCACTTTCCTGGCGCTCGAAACTCTGCCTGGCGATCAAGGCTGAAGCAGGTCGGAGCATCATAACGATGACCGCGAATGTGCTGCAGCGCCAGCCTCAAGCGCTGGGCGCGCGGCCCGGCGCCCGGACCTTCGCCGTCAACTTCGGCGTGCCTCTGTCCCTCCCTCTCCCCTCCCTCCCGCTCTCGCCCTCTCCCGTTCCCTCCCTCCCTCTCCCTCCTATTCCCCCCTCCCTCTCTCTCTCTCTCTCTCTCTCTCTCTCTATCCACCTGTCCCTCTCTCCCTCTCTCCTGTTACCTCCCTCCCTCTCCCTCTTATTCCCCCCTTCCCTCTCTCTCTCCACCTGTCCCTCTCTCTCTCTCTCCCTCCCTCTCCCCCTGGGCATCCGCCTCCCTCCTGCGCCTCCGTCTCCGCCTCCTCCTCCCGCCTCCCTCCCCTCCCCCTCCGCCTCCCTCGCCCGTCTTCCCCCCCCCACTCTCCTGCCCGCTAATCCCCCGCTCCGCCCCCCCCCCGTCGCCAGCGACCGGCTCCTCCTTGGGCGGGGGGGGGAGGGGCGCCGGGAGGGGCGGCGCGCGCCCCAGGCAAGGCAGAGGGGACGAGAGGCAGGCCCCGGGGGGGGGGGGGTCGTGGCAGAGGGGCCCCTCCTCGCTCTCCTGGGGATGGAGGGGGCACGGGGGGGGCGAGGCGGGGGAGGAGGGGGGCTGGCGAGAGAGGCAGAGGGGAGCAGGGGCGGGAAGGGGGGAGGGGAGTGGGGAGGCGGGGGGAGGGGATGGGGAGGGGAAGGGGCAGAGGCGCGGGAAGCGGGAGGGGGGCCGAGGGAGCGGCCGGGGGAGCGGGAGCGGGTTCTGGACAGCACGGGCGGGAGGGAGAAGGAAAAAAGGGACAATGCGAGGGAGGGGAAGGGAACCTAAGGAGGGGAGGGCAGGGGAGACGAACGAGAGGGGGCAAGATCGTGGCCAGAACAGCGTGACGGGCAGGGCCCTGCAGCGGATGGCGATGCGGACGCGGGCCCCAGTGCCAGCCAAAGGGGACCCATATGACGAGCCCGTGGGCGGCCAGCGGCGCCGGTGCCGCCGCCTCTGCCTCGAAGCAGCACACACGCCAGCCAGCCCTGCGCCAGCCACGCGCACTGACGAGGGGCAAATACTTGGGTAACCACGTTGTGCCGCACACACCTCCTCATCCTCCTCCTCCTCCTCCTCCTCCTCCTCCTCCTCCTCCTCCGCCTCCTCCTCCATCTCATCATCATCATCATCATCATCATCATCATCATCATCATCATCAGCAGCAGCAGCAGCAGCAGCAGCAGTAGCAGCATCAGCGGCAGCAGCAGCAGCAGCAGCACCATCAGCATCAGCATCAGCACCAATAGCAGCATCAGCATCAGCATCAGCATCAGCATCAGCATCACCATCATCATCAGCAGCAGCATCATCATCAGCATCTGCATCTGAATCATCATCAGCAGCAGCAGCAGCAGCAGCAGCATCATCATCATCATCATCATCATCATCAGCAGCATCATTATCATCAGCAGCAGCAGCATCAGCAGCAGCAGCATCAGCATCAGCATAACCATCATCAGCATCAGCATCACCATCATCAGCATCAGCAGCATCAGCATCATCATCAGCATCAGCATCTGAATCATCATCATCAGCAGCAGCAGCATCATCATCATCATCATCATCATCATCATCATCAGCAGCAGCAGCAGCAGCAGTAGCAGCATCAGCGGCAGCAGCAGCAGCAGCACCATCAGCATCAGCATCAGCACCAATAGCAGCATCAGCATCAGCATCAGCATCAGCATCACCATCATCATCAGCAGCAGCATCATCATCAGCATCAGCATCTGAATCATCATCAGCAGCAGCAGCATCATCATCATCATCATCATCAGCAGCAGCAGCATCATCAGCATCATCATCATCATCATCATCAGCATCATTATCATCAGCAGCAGCAGCATCAGCAGCAGCAGCATCAGCATCAGCATAACCATCATCAGCATCAGCATCACCATCATCAGCATCAGCAGCATCAGCATCAGCATCAGCATCATCATCCTCATCATCAGCAGCAGCAGCAACATCAGTATCAGCATCAACATCAGCATCAGCATCAGCATCAGGATCAGCATCATCATCCTCATCATCATCAGCAGCATCATCAGCATAACCATCCTCATCCACATCCTCCTCCTCATCATCACCATCAGCAGCATCAGCATCAGCATCAGCATCAGCATCAGCATCAGCATCAGTATCAGCATCAGCATCAGCATCATCCTTCTCATTATCCTCATCCTCATCCTCATCCTCATCATCCTCATCATCCTCATTATCCTCATCCTCATTCTAATCATCATCCGCATCATCGTCATCATCAGCAGCAGCATGTCCCGAGCCTGTGGCAGGGTCATCAGCTCGTCGTTGTCATTGTCGTCGTGGTTGTCGTCTTCGTCGTCGTCATTCTGGGTCGGCGGCACCAGCCGCAAGGCCTTCACAATACTTTGGTAAGCACGTTGTGCCGCACGCACTTTCCCTGACGAATTTTGTCACGCATTCTCATCCGCGTCGAGAGCGCCTTGTTACTCTGCACATGTTGCACGACGTCTTCAACAGGGAATAAGCAGAACATATGAGGATTACGTAGCCAGCCACAGGCATACCGCATTCGTCACACCTTCCGAAAGACACCGCATCACTGTCTCGTCCGAGATCCCTGGAAGTCCCCCGAGGCATCCGGGGACGGCAAAAGCGCCAAAAAACAACTCTACCATCGGTCCTCCCACCTCCTCCTCCTCCCTCCTCCTCCTCCTCCTCCTCCTCCTCCTCCTCCCACCTCCTCCTCCTCCTCCTCCTCCTCCTCCTCCTCCTCCTCCTCCTCCTCCCCCTCCCCCATCCCCTCCTCCTCCTCCTCCTCCTCCTCCTCCTCCTCCTCCTCCTCTCTCCTCCCCTCCTCCTCCTCCTCCTCCTCCTCCTCCTCCTCCTCCTCCTCCTCTTCCTCCTCCCTTCCCTGGCCCCCCGTCCTCTCTCGCCCCCGCCTGCGAGCGTGCGCGCGCGCGCGCTCGAGCCGCTCCTCTGGCCCTGCGAGTCCGCCGGCGTGGCCCACGACGCTCCTGCGAGGGCGGGGGGGCAGACACGCGTTGGGAAGGCGTCAAGGGACGTTTCCTTATTCGGCGTTTCGACATTGGGCTTAAGTCGGGCCTGTCCCTCTACGGGAGGGATAATCAAAAATAGTCAAAAAATGTCTGGGGACGATGTTTGACAATTTTTGAAAATTTTGGGTGCATTTTTGTAATATTTGTTTCGCACAAAAACCCCCGGTAGGGGGACAGGCCCAACCTGACATTGGGCGGAAGGGGGGGGAACGGGGGGGATCTGGCCCTGGACCTTTGCTCAATGCGACTGCTTGCAACAGTGCGTCCTGTGGTGGAAGACTCCACTTGCCTGAGCCAGGCGCCAAAAGCAGCCAAGATCTACTCCATGGAGGGGCAGGGCTCGAGCTAGACGGTGTTTTGGCAATTTCGTGGACCGTTTTCGTTTTGACTTCGTTTTGCAGCAAGTGCGGAACGAAGACAGAACTAGGGATGACGAAAACAAAACGAAAACGGAAAACACTGTTGAATTCGAGCCCTGTGGGGGGAGGAGGTGGAGGATTTTTTTCCAGTGCGCCGCTGCCAACCAAACTCCAGAGTGCAAGAGATGCAGGGGTTGCCTGGCAGGGAAAAGGAATTACGGCACCCAGCTCTTGGAGGTCTTGGACGGCGGGAGGCCTTTGCAAACCCGCTGTAAAACCTCGAGATGGTGCTTAGTTATGGCATGCGGTCCAAGCGCGGCCACAGGACAAGGCTCCCGCAGGGAGTCAGGGCGAGCTATTGCCCAAGAGCCGCATTCGCCGCAAAAGGTGAACGCACCTTTCTGCCACAAAACGTGCGAAGGGTGGACCGCCTTGCCAGCGACCCAAGGCGCCGCTCGCTCAGGGGGCGGGTCAAGCCTCAGGCGACGCCAGAGGGAGCCGTCCCTGGCGGCCAGGGCCCGACCTGGCCTCGCCCACTTTTTGACAGTGACCTCCTCCGCCTCCACCGAAACCGAACTCCCAACTCCACCTCCTCCATAAGCAGGGCAAGCAGAGCGGAGCCTCGCGCGGAGCGAGGGGGCAACATCGGAGATCGAAGCCTTGCACATCCCACAAGTCCAAACGCCAGAACCGAACTCCCAAACGTGCGACGAACCCCTCACATCGGCTTCGATCCACCGACGCCTGCGGAGCACAAGATCAATGGGCTGCTTGCGCAGCCTGCGATCAGGCTCGGCCTTGAGGGCAGCACACTCGAGAATGATAGAGGCATTACGCTTGAGGATAGCACAAGCATTGGCGACGAGCTCATTATAAGCCTGAACAACTCCATTAGGAACCTGGCATTCAAGAGCACGCAGGTCAGCGAGCTCATCAGCGACAGAGTGGAGCACAACATGGTCCCAGTCAACAGAGTCGCCAAAACGGGCGAGCTCTTGGGCATCCTCCAGCAAGTGGCTGGGAACATGAAAAAACTGGAAGTCCCCAGATCGCTCCGAGAGGAGCTGCCAGAATTCCCACCAGATCAAAATTTGCCAGCCTCGCAGAGGCCGCTCGGCCAGCCAGGAAGCCTTTGACCATATTGGCATGGTCGGTGACCACGCGCAGATCTTGGGCAGGGTCAACGCATCGAAGGCACTCAACTATGGCCGCAAGCTCTGCGCGGGGGACCGTCTGTCGAACCGAGTCGAGTACACCCGTGGCTCCACAATCCCAGTCAAGGTCATCGCTAGGACGGGGCCCGCACAAAGGCAAAGGCAACTCGTCGGAGCACAGGAAACTTGGCAAACTGGCCACCCGTGCCGTCAGTGGCGTAGAGGCCCCCAGGCAGACAGCCTGGAGACAAGGCCCCAGGACAACGCCGCCCCTGGAGGTCCCTAGAACCAGGAACAGGAGGGAGGTTGAACCAAGAAAGGGGAATAAGTCCTCGCATCCAGAAGCACGGGTACTGGAAAGCCTCCTGCTGGGCGCCGTGCCTAAGGTGCTGAGAGTCAACAATATCCTGGACCTGCGACGAAGCATTACACATGCACTCCCAAAACCTGTGGCAGGAGGTCTCGGGGTCACGCTGGCAACGCCGACAAATAGGATCAGGAGCCAACTGGGCCGCGCGCCTGCTCTCCTCAGTCCAGTAGCCTCCAGAGACCAAGAGCCGAATCATAGCCGCGAGGTCCCGACGCCCGTCCTTCTCGAGGGAGGCAACAAGGTCCCAGACATGATGAAGAGAGACAGGCCCCTGGATTCCAGCACCATCCAGGTGCTCAGAAGCCTGGCGCCACTGAAGCGTGTCAATTGATTCGTCAAATGCCTCAAGAAGAGGGCCTAGAGGGCCGTGCCCGTCCTCCATCATCTGCCACTCGTCACCGCAAGGCGCGATGAGAGTGAAAGGTGAGGGGCACTGCCATCCTACCGCCAAAATCGTGGCTTGAAAAGCCGCCATCGGGCCACGGACCCAGGCCCGCCCTTTTCGGACCTTGACCAAAGAGGCCGCCCAATGTCGGGCCAGGCGACGGTGGAGACCTGGGCGCCCCGCCAGACGAGCAAACCACGACTTGACGACACGACGGACGTACACCTGGAGGGGGCCCTGGCCATAGCCGCAAGTGAGACGGATAGCGGTAGTGGCACACACACCTCGCTGAGGGGCCTTGCTGGCAGCACGAGCCATGCTGTGAAGGCCTTTGAGCATGGAGGGGGAGACACCGCGAATCTCTGGCGCCCACATGGCCTTCGCATAAGCACTAGGATAGAACAATTTACTGACTTGCTTGCACGTGCGCCCAAACACGAAAGTCTTACAAGAGGCATCCCGCCCCTTGGAAAAGCGGGTCTTCCTGACGGCCACAGTCCTCCTGGCGCCCAGAGCAGCGTCGCGCCCCAAGTCCCTGGCAGCCAGAGCCACCGAGAACTCGCAGCCCTCACGGACGGCAATCCTGGAAAGCTCAGCCCGAATGCCTGGCGAGGACGCAAGCAGATGGGACTCATCCAGGGACAACTCACAGCGACGCCTCCTGAGGCCAGTGAGGAGGGCACGGAGCAGGATGGGAAGGGTAGCAGCGATGGAAGAATGCGCGCCGAAAAGGCGAGCTGAGATATCATCAACCCACTCCCGCAGCCGAAGGCCACCGACCGATCCATTGGCTCCTGCAAGGGGCTGGTGCAAATGAGCGCGCGCAAGGGAGGTAGCCTGGCCACATCCAGCCAACATGCCCCCATGAGCCAGGACCCCAGGATGGACAGCCCCCTCCAACGACAAATGCCGAACCCCCAAATAAATATCGATGGCCAGGGCCAACAGACGGAGTGGGCAATCTAATTCGCGACAGCTTCCACCAAGTCCTGAAGACAGACTTGGTCATAATATTCCTTCATGTCAAGCAAAAAGCCCCCGACCTGGAACCCGCTGCGGAGGGCAAGTTCCGTTTCAAGCTCGTCAAGCCAACCAGCTACATCAGCCGAGCCCCCAACGGTCTGGCCCCAGGGCCCATGCGCCTCACGGTCCCAAGCCGCGATGAAAGGCTTCCTGATGCGCAAGAGAAGCGCGTAAACAAAGCCAAGCAGCGCCATGGGTCTTTTTCCCCCGTCAGGCTTCGGAATGAGGGCAATCAAGGCAAAGAGCTGCTGGAAAGGCAAAGTGCACTGCTCCTCCATAGACTCGAGAAGCTGTATGAGGTGGATCTTGGCCTTATCACTAGCCTCCTTAATTAAGCGCGGCTCGATAAAATCCAAACCCTGACCCCTGGAGTCAGGCATCGACTTGAGCGCACGATTAAGGGCGTCCAGGTCGATGGGCGGCAAACGCGGGGACGACCGAGCACTCTTACGCAGGGCAGCTAACGCAGCTCGCGCTTCGTCCTTATCGTGCTGTTGCCAGATGGCCGTCCAAGCGGCCGCTTCAAAACCTAAGAGCTGATCCAAGGCTGAGCAGGGTCCTTCCTCACCGATCTTTTCGGCCGCCAGAGGGCCCAGGGGTGGCTTAAAAAACCGATGAACCGGCCCCGCATACCTGAAAAGCGCACCCTGGAGCCAGGCCTTCCACGAGGCCTTCTGAGACACCTGCTGGAGCTTTTATAGTACCGGTGGGATTTTTTAGACACCTGCTGGAGCTCAGCTAGCAAGTCGCGCAGCCCGTCGAACGGCGTATCAGAAACATGTTGAAAACGATTCTTCCACAAGTTAAAGGCGCCACACTGACTAGCATCGGAAGGGTCAGACGGGGAAGGGGGCACCTGCTGAGAAAGCCAAGCCACAGTGGCACGAAACTGAGCCGCATGCATGCGGTCAGGCTGCGGCGGGATATCCTCCATGGAATCCTGCGGGACAAGCTTGAGCAGCAGCTTAAGCTTGACAAAGGCAGCTTGCCAGAAACGGGCGCCACGATCAGCCTGGCAAGGCCCCTCAACCTGGGCGGCCGCGAGGGGCACCAAACGCAGCCTGGGCCCCTGGCAACGACCAATATACTGGAACACCTGGTCCTGGGCCAAGCCAAGCTTCGAGAAGGCCTCAAGCTCCAGAGCAACAATCCAGGTAGACAACTGGGCCCCTAAGTCGAGGGAGACCTGGATGTTGTCATGCTCGAGCTTGAGGAGACTGGCAGCAGCATAGTTGGCCTTGAAGAAGCCTGGCCGCTTACGCTGCAGCAGCTGAGCCTGCACCAAGAAGTGCGGCCAGGCTTCAACAAGGGCAGCAACGCCTTTGACAGGAAGGGGTTTAGGTCGCATGGCCTTCCAAACCATGATGGCCCTGGGAGAAGCCGAGACCTGAAATTCCAAAGCGGCGTGGGTGCCCCAAGGCACTGGAACAAGCGACCTAAACTGGACGGCGCTAGAGAAGCTAGCAGAGACCAACGCGTAATCGACCCAACTGGTGGAGACCCCCGAACACGCAACCGAAACACCAGGCATAGGAACACGGACAAGGCCGAGAGGCTTCAGCCAACCTGACTCCTCGAGAACACTCTGGTCAACCTGCCAGTCGCCCACCACAAAGGCGGGAACACCTGCCGCGCTCAGATGGGCGCCGAGGTCCGCCAGCAGCTCG